TTATATTTTTATATAATTTATACCAAATATATAATTTATTATAAATTTATTTAAAATTATATTATTAAGTTTAATTAACATCTTGGCCCTCTAGAATGAGTTTCTTGCAACTTCCCTGAATTTACCTATACAAGGATTGTTTCAAGAAAACGAAAGTGAGTCAAGTTCAGTAATTGTTCTTCTTTCAAGATTCTAGGGTTTTTTTTTTTTTTTTTTTTTTTTTTTTTTTTTTTTTTGACTTGTCTTCTGCACAAATTCTATTATGGTATACATTGCTATGCTCCGGCTTTGGCCGTCCAATCTTTCAACATCTCTGCCTCCACGTTGACACCTGACATTTGTTTGGTAGTATTACAAACTTTTCAATTTCAAACAAAGGCATTATTTGATAAAGCTCCTTAATTCGGCCGTAGTTAATGTCCAACTCAAGTAAACGATAGCAACATATATATTTATGTTAAAGATTTATTTATTTATTAATACCAGTTATTTGGACATCCCCGTATTATGGGGCCCCAGTAGAGCTACTGATGGTGTCACTAATATATATAATGGTCAACGATTGACTGACGTAAAGGCTATAATATGTAAACATTACCTGAAGTTTGGTCTAATTACATCCAATCACACGCATTATTTTAAAGTGACATTCCTCATGCTGCATGCATGCCCCACACAGCATGTGAAATTGTGATTAAAAACATAGGATGTCTGTTTCTCTGCATGTTTCTTCCACCCTTTTCTCGTTAAAAGAAACAAAAATCACTCACACCCCAAAGGATATGAAAAGTTATCCATCAACTATTAACAATGAGGGAAGATATTAGATAATTTTTCAAATGTGGAGAGAAGTGACTTAAAGTAGAACCTCAAGTAAGTTGTGGGATAATAGTTCCCCCCCGTGCCCCCCCCCCCCCCCCCCCCAAAAAAAAACTCCTAAAATACTTTTCATTTTCTTCCAATCTCACGAAACCATTTAAACTCTATAGCTTGCCAATCCAGTTCAAGAACTCTACAAATGGACAAATGGAAATTGCTCAAGGATTGTTCTATCTCCATAAGTGCTCAAGACTAACAATAATTCATAGATTTTTGAAATCTAGCAATATATTGCTGGACAAAAACAAGATATATGATTTCGGTATAACAAAGATTTTCACTACAACGGAATCTGATGCAAGTACAAATAGAATCGTCGGAACATGGTGAGTATATCATAAAGTTAAGAATTTTCCCTATTACAAGAAGTAAATTTTGCAGCACCTTAATTATTCATTTGTTTATATACTAACTGGTTGTATTTCTTCATGAATAAAATCTAATGGTTATATGGCTCCTAAATATGCTAGAGATGGCATCTTCTCTACGAAATTTGATGTCTTCAGTTTAGACTTTTAGTGTTGGAGATTGTTATGCCTGAAAAAATAGGACTGACGTAGAGTCTTGTCAATATAGGGTGATCAGAACTTGAGAAAGTTCTACGACCGTTCAGATGCGGCCACGTCGCATAATGACGCAAGTGGCATGTCATTGTCAGTACAGTGGGTGAGCGCCAGGTTAGTGAATGGTTGAAAATTGTCCACGTGTCTAATCCCTACGAAAGTACAGGAAATCACTCGGGCAAGTGAACAATGGGACATAGAGAAGGATTTGCATGGTACCTACCCACTTGTAGATTTAGTAATCATTACCTTAGTTTATCCCACTATAAATAGAAGACTTCCCTCCCATTTGCGGGATTAACTAATTTTACTCTAGAATAGCTTATTAACTCTCTCTCTCTCTCTCTCTCTCTCTCTCTTTTGTATTCTCTAAACTGTAACTCAGCTCGCTGCACGCGACCTAACCTTACTTTCATTAATACAATATCAGTGGATGTAGAATTCGCTTTTGAGCATCCGAACCACTTTGAACATTGTCTTTCACTCTTTATTTAACTAAATATTCTCATATCACATGTGACTTCTAAATCCGCTTAGCATTTCTCACGTGCGAATAATTGGTGTCAAAACCAAGCATCAACAGTTTGACATTAGAAGGAGGGCCTGATTTAGTACCTACTCTTCATCAGAAAAATCTCTGACTAATCGGTCGTACCACAGCAAATGGCTTGCGGTTTGGAATATGAGCGAACCAATTATGGCAATGAAGGCATTTTAGTGAGGGCTGAGAGCGGGAAAGGGTTTACCATAATATGACTAGAGCTAGACTAAAACAAAGTAGTCAGACCACAGCTTTGTGGTGGCTAAAGATGGTAAAGTTAGTCGAAACTAAGCTTTATGGCAAGGAAAACAAAGATTCTTAGGAGTAAGAATCTAGGAGCTAAAACTATGGGTGATTTCTGAATGCATAATGAGAGGCTTGACCTCTGTTTATATAGGAGTTCAAGGGAGCTTGAGTCTTAATAGGACTATTAGTCCTACTTGTTAGAGGAGTTCGAGTTAGGAAAGAAATCTTGTGACTTGCCTTTATCGGATTAGGACTATCAATTAGAGTAAGATCTTGGATCTTGATTGAAGTAGAAAGTAAATATGATTCTGATTCCTATTTTGGGACAAATGTGGGCTAATGGGCTAGAGCACAATTTAGCTTAACTTGTAAAAAGGCCCATCTCATGGGGTGATCAATCCATAAGGTGAATTTAAACATAGTCTCATCCGGGATTAGGTTAAGACACTGGATCGTAATATAGTTAGTTCGTTATTGGGCCTAACAAGTCTAGTACGATTTTTGGCCCATTTAACTTACAAGATTATAGAAGTAATAATTAAGAAATTAAACACATCAAACTAATTTATAAATTTTGGGAAGTGCATAAGAGGAAGAAAGAAAATAAAAATTAACAAATCAATTTACAATTGCAAAGCATAAATTGCGTCTCTATTGTACTTACATGATCTTGATTAAACTCTTTCAATTGCATAAATTTCGACTTTGTTATTAGAAAATAGAAAGGATTTATTGGTTTACAATTGAGAGATGAAATAAATTTTTTAAACGTGTAACTCTTTTGTGTCTTATTCAATAATTTTAATAAATGATAAAATTGTAATTAAAATTTTAATAATTACCGGGACTAAAGAGATAAAATATGGGAGGCTAATAGTATCATACTATTTTAATTATAAAACTTAATTTTTTGAATATTATTGGAAGAAATTGTTATTAAATTTAATATAATAAAATTAAAAGTCATAAATGTCTCCAAAAAACAATAATTAAGAAAAAAGTTTCATTGGAACGCCAATTAAATAAATTTTACTTAAAATACCAGTTTTTATTATATAATTAAGGAAAGTAAATTAAAAAAACCAAAAAAAAAAAAAAAAAAAAAAAAAAAAAAAAAAAAAAAAAAAAGGGTAATCTCCTCAACTTTCTTAACTACCTTTGGTGACCGAGCGGTTTGATATGGACTCTTGGTATATTACTCAAGAGATCTTGAATTTGAATCATTTCTCGGATGCTAATAGGGGTAGCCACTAAAAGTCTTATTTGATCGGTAGTTTCAGGATCCTGAAAGATTAGTTAAAGTCTGCATAAGCTGAGCCTTCAACCTTCTTGCCCTCAATGCTGCTATTCTTAACTCATATAAGAACCACCATTAACTGCTGCTGCTTCTTAATTAAGATTCGTTTGGGTGCATTGGATGCGCTTTTAAGAAGTTGAAAATGGATTCTTTTTCAAAGATTTGCAATGCGTGCAGAAGTAAAAGTGAGATTCAATGAAAATTCACAAGAAAACAAAACATTCTGTCAAATCTTAGACTACTAGATATTGCCTGGATCGGTTGAGAAGTATACGAGACAAATAATTCGTAGCTTTCAGTCTACGCTACATTCATACTATTGAGTAACATGAATTAGCACAAATCTCTCCCACGCTTTTAGAGATAAAGAGAATCTTCAATGAAAGCACGACGTTTAGAAATTCTTGTAGGAACCACCACGCTTTGGCTCGTGGGATGTCACAATTTACCCATTCGGATCTAGAGTCATTGCTGGCATCCTCGACTATTCTAAAACATTCACCTATTCTCGGTTGGACTTGCTTTGATACAATTGGCTTCTTTGGTTTAGATCTGTACTGGTTTGCTTTTGGTTTCATGCAAACGTCTTTCACCCAGAACCATCCAAGATGTGTGAAGCCTAAATACAAACTCGTACAAGTTTGGCCCAAAACGAATCAGTAATGTTATATATACGAATTCTTTTAGAGCAAACAATATATTCTCACTTGAAGTTTAGCGAAATCTTAAGTTGATACCCTTAATTGTATTTATTCTAGATTCTCCTTTAAAGTAATACCACTTTCTTTATTTTAACAAATTTCTCAACTTTTTACAGTAGTGTGATTCTTCATTAGCACACAAAAATACGTTGACGCTTTCTTTGGCAATGGATGGACCCATTTTAGAAAAAAGTGGCTCATATTAATAACATCCAAGCTGGTAATTTTTAGCTTTTTTCTGGTTGATTTCAAAGTCTAAAATTACTTCGAAGACCACCTTGAACTTCCTACAATCTCTTCTACAAAACTCATACCTTGCCAACCTCACTCACCATTTTCAATATTAACTAACAGTATTATTTTAAGGATAAAAATCTAGAATAAGTAAAACCAAAGATATTAACTTAGGATTTTGTTAAACCTTGAATGAAAATACGTGGTTTACTCACTCTTTTATATAAAGTGTATATTAACTTTTTATATTATCACATCATTCATCTGCATTAATTAATATTTATTAAGTTTTATAAAATTCATCTATTCAATTCATTACACGTAAATTTGTACAAAGATTTATTACATCTAATATTAGTCAAAGGGGATAATTATGGGACGGCTGTTTTGAATATTTCGGGAATGGTTTTCAAGATGAATATGTAACTTAACTGCTGATATTTCTTGAACAATACAACTTCCATCGTGGGGTCAGGGATGAACTTTGAACTTAGAAAGGTCAAATCTGCCAACTATGAAAATAAAAGACAATTAGCTTAATGGCTATTGGCTACTTGCCAGTTGCCACTATCCACTGGCGACCTCATAATGGTACTTGCCACTATCCACTGGCGACCTCATAATGGCCACTTGTCACAGGTTTCACTTTATCTGATTAATATAAATGTAAGTATGTGAGTTATTTATTAAATTTATGCTATTAATGCTTGTTTTATACTTCAAATTTCAGTTAGCGGCTAGTAAGATTATTGTATCACGTACAATACTACTGATATTGTGAATAATAAATAATATGTTGATGCCTTTGGATGATTTTATAAAGTCTTAGGTAACTTGTCATTTTCGATCTCTTTATCCTTCACCGTATTACTGCCACTGCAAGTGAACCAGACAATACTGTTTGCTTTCTCAGAGGGGTTCGTATTAATCTCAATCACCCCTAAAGCTAACCGTCGTAATTAATTCCATTAATTGACCCATAAAATCTAATCAAAGGACACAAAAACCTTTTATGTCTTACTGAGTATAGTAAAATAAGCAAACATAGACGTGAAATCAAAATCAGAACGAGCACATATAATGAACCCAGGTCGCTCACTTTGGATATATGTGCCATCTTCTATCATAAGCTTATCAATGGCTAACAGTTTCTACAAACTCTTTTTTCTCATTTTCTTTTGCTTTTGGGCTTCTATTGATGCAGCAACAGACACCCTCATGCAAGGTGATATGCTCAATTCTTCCGTTCCTCTTGTTTCAAGAAACGAGAAATTCACCTTGAGCTTTTTCCGTAGCCCGCAACGTTCCGGGAACGGGTGGTACTTGGGAGTATCGTCAGGAGATAATATTGAGGGACAGTCTATCTGGGTAGCCAATCGAGAGATGCCTATCCGAGATGATTCAGTGGTCCTTCTCATAGATGAAACTGGTTCACTACTCATAAAACACAATAGTGGGGATTCTATCAAGCTATTTTCAGGTCAATCTAGAACCAATTTAGCTGCTGTTTTGCAAGATGATGGAAACTTCGTATTGAAAGAAACAAACTCTGATGGGACTGCGAATTCCGAACCGCCCTTGTGGCAAAGTTTTGATCTTCCGACGAATTCTCTCTTGCCGGGAATGAAACTGGGGATCAACGACAAGACTGGTCAGAACTGGTCACTTACATCATGGCTAAGTTATTCTCTACCGACTCCATGGGCTTTCACTTTGGAATGGTATCCTTTAGAAGAAGAATTGATTGTTAAGCGGCGAGGTGTAGATTTTTGGACTAGTGGGAAATTTTTTGCTCTTCAATTGAAAACATTGAAGTGTCCACAGCAACAGAAATTATTTCTTTCGCCAGTATTCAACCAAGATGAAATACCTTAACTACACAGCTGCTCCATGTTATCAAAGGATGGAAACAGTGTTACAAGTTTGTGGTTGACGAGTGTGGATCCTTGTGGATACATGACTCGTAAATATCTTTTTCGGTCTTTATTATGCGACGGAACACCACAGATTTTGGTTGTAAGAGATGGAAGATCTATCTTGCAGGCATGGTCAAAAGTTGGAAGAAGGGCGATTTCTAACAACGATCCTCAAATTATTCGTGTATCTGACAACAGGGCAGATCTGAGCTTAAGTGACTGCAAGGACATGTGCTGGAAAAATTGTACTTGTGTTGGAGTTCAAGAAAAGGCCCTAATCCTGATGGGACAGGCTGCACGTTTCTCTCTGGACCTTTGAAGGAAATGAAGAATGGAGAGCAATCTAACTATCCCTAATCCTGATGAAGCATTTTACATCACATTCCAGCCCCTTCAGGTATATCTCTCTACTCTGCTTCATTTAGACCATATTATAATTGATATTATTATTTAGTTCTTATGGACATGGTTGTTATGGTAACTATGTTGCCCACATTATTATTGGTTTGATGAAGATAGATGCAGGTATTACACAAGTGAAATTGCCATTAAATGCTCACAAACAGAACATGCATCCTTCTGCTAACACATCTGCAGATTTTTTTTAATTGTTACATAATAGGCACTTATGACTTGTATTAATTGATCCATTAGAGCATCTCCAACCCACGCTAAAAGGGTGCAAAAAACACCAATTTGGCGTGGGTTGGCAGTCCAACCAGCGCTAAACACTGCGCCATTTGGCGCAGTGCTACAGTGCTGCGCCAAATTGGGCGCAGCATGTAGCACTGCGCCAAAATGGCGGCGTACTGTACAGACATAAAAAAAAAAATTTTTTTAATTTTAGTTTTTTTGTTTTTTGTTTTAATTTTGTTAAGTTAATTTGAGTATTAAATTTGATATTAAATTTTACACCAAAAATTACACCAATTTGAGTATTTATATTAATTTAATTTGATTATTATTTATAATAATAAATTTAAATAATATATAATTTAAAAATGATGAAAAATTAAAAATGAACTTTATTCAATGCAAATATTAAACTATACATAACTCAAAATAAAATGTAATGTTTATATTAGATGTAATGTTTTTCTATATTAAATGTAATGTTTATTTGATTAATAATACTTAATTCTATTAAATTAGTATAATTTTCAAAATAATTATTATTTAATAAAATATCATTCCCATATTTAATTAATATATACAAAAATAATAGTGAAATAGATTAATTGTTGATTATTACAATAAAGAAAAAAAAGAATATTCTAAAGAATTTCTAGGGAATATTATAGGGAATATTCTTTTTGGTGCATATTTGGTGTTGGTGGTTTGGAGATGGATAGTGTTTTGCACCAATTTTGCACCAATTTGGTACAATTTGCACCAAATTGGTGCAATGGTTGGAGATGGTCTTAGACGCATCGAAAAGCACTTATACACTAATTTCTAGGAACTCAACAGATTTTCTCCATATAAACCTTTATAACACAGATTCCCTCCATATAAACCTTTATGCCACATTTCTAGCTTCTTTCAAATTTCCTTGACAGTTCTATCTTTTAATTTTTTTTCCTAACGAGTAACCAAGAATATCACATGCATACAAAATAAATTATGATCTTGGTTTCTTGTATTGACTGCACACATTAAGTAGGGAGTTAAACTAGAATTGCATTCAAAAAAGGTTTATCATATAGGCATAAAATTGCCAAGGCAAAGGATAAAGACAGTTATATATAAAGTAAAATATTATTTTTGTTCTATTGGGCAGAGAAGCAGTAATATGGAAGTGGATATTGATTTCAGTTGCTACAGCAGCCGCATTAGTTGTGATATTCTTCTTGGGATTTTTTCTTTATAAGATGGAGAAGACTTCGTCTTGAAGGTAATACACTAAACCGTATGCATGAAATATTTCTTTCTGTTATTAGTTTACTGAATATCAAGCTCAACTTTTTCATATTTCCATCCAAACAGAAAAGTTCCTGTTTGAATTAATGAGTGAAGCTAAGGAGCTTGAAATCGATGGCAAGAAAGGTGCAACTTAAAAGTGTACAGTTTTTCATCCATCATGGACGCTACAAATAGCTTCTCATCTGAAAACAAACTTGGAGAGGGTGGCTTTGGGCCTGTTTACAAGGTAAATTTGGAAGACGAGAATGACAAAATTTGTTTCCTTAATAAGCTTGTCTAAAATTGAGCTCAACTTCATGATTGTTATTTCAGGGTTTATTGCCTGATGGACAAGAGATAGCAATAAAGAGACTCTCAAAGATCCAGACAAGGCTTGTGGAGTTCAAGAATGAGCTGATATATAGCTAAATTACAACACACAACTCTGGTGCGGCTCTTGGGTTTCTGCATTCAAGGGGAAGAGAAAATATTAGTCTATGAGCACATGCCAAATAAAACTTGGACTCGTATATTTTCGGTATGCAATCTTCTCTAATACGTTTCATCACATAATAATCCCTTCTTCATTTTTCATATGCCTGATAGGTTTGTTCACTCTGTTTTTCTCATAAACAGATTCTAAAAGGGAGCTGTTTGATTGGGACAAATGTTTTAACATCATTGAAGAAATTGCTCAAGGATTACTTTATCTCCATAAGTACTCAAGACTAACAATAATTCATAGAGATTTGAAATCTGGCAATAATTTACAGACAAAAACAGATCCACGATATCTGATTTCGGTATGGCAAAGATTTTCGCCACAACTGAATCTGATGCAAATACAAATAGAATCGTCGGAACACGGTGAGTATTCAATAGTTAAGAATTTTTACTGTTTGAAGATGTAAATTTGGAGCACCTTAATTATTCATTTGGTTACATACTAACCGGCTGTATTTCATGAATGAATCTAGGGGTTATATGTCTCGAATATGCTAGAGATGGCATCTTCTCTACGAACTGATATCTTCAGTTTCGGAGTTTTAGTGTTGGAGATCATAAGTGGTAGGAGGAGTAACACATTTTTAATTGGATCAGCCGCTCAATCTCGTTGGATATGTAGTCATAATGTAGTGTCATTATTTTAATTATGCATCAAACCAACAAATGTTTATCTCAATGTTTAAATTTAAGGGGGTTTTTTTCCAGGCCTGGGAATTGTGGAGAGAAGGTGCAGTGTTAGAACTAGTGCATCCAACATTACGTGATTCATGTTTTGAAGACCCAGTTTTGAGATGCATTAATGTGGCCTTGCTTTGTGTAGAGCACAATCCTGTGGACAGGCCCTCTATGTCAGCTGTCATTTGTATGTTAGGAAGTGATGTTGTAAAATTAACAAAGCCAAAGCAACCAGCATTTTCCACTGAAAGAATACCTGTTGATCAAGACAATTCCAAGGAAATTAAGGCAGAGAATTGTACAATAAATAACTTAACCATATCTGTGTTAGATCCACGATAAAGGTATGAATCCTTTAATTTTCTTATATATCACCTTTAATATACTGAAGTATTTGTTTTAAGTCTATTGTTTCATATTTCTATCAATTCATGAATATCAACTTGTAATTACAATTTAACTCTGCACCATTGCTGGGTATCAATTTATGGCCATAATTCTGATGCAAATCATGAATCTGCAGGCGCATAATGAAATATTACTTGGTGGATCTTCTACATGCTGTTATGAATTCAACAGAAAGAGGCATACAATTTCAAGACACATGATAGATTGACATATTGTTTCCTCTTTGTTCCTGTATTTATAATGATTTTATCGAGCTTTCTTATATATATTTCTGTTGGAAGCAAGATGGGTACAAAGGTCACAAGGAAAGAGGAAATAGAAAAGGAATTCAGAAATCAAACTTCTTATTTCCCTTGTTCAAACATAGCTTGAGTAGATGGTTATATATACTACTCAAAAGAAAACTCAAGAGTCTAATTTAAGGACATCTTATGCTATTCACGTCTGGGAGATGTTTTACACACCAAAAGACACAAACATTTGGTTTTCTCTGTTTCTCGGTTACTACTGAATAGTCAGTAGTAAATTATCCATAACTTGCTTAATAAAAGTCTAATTAATGAGTGGTGTAAAGCTTTAGAAACTAGACAGACATGGTGCTGGAAAAAAGGCTCATTTAGCAAAATCACATAGGGTAGAAGTGATAATGGAAAAAAGGTTTAGGGACTTATATGTAATAGGCCAAAAAGGTAGTTTGTCCCACATTGAAAAAGAATGAAAAGTGGGAAACTTTTGGGGCCTATATATAAGGACCTAAATCATTGTTATTTGTATCCCAAGTTGTAATTCTATTATACTTCTTTTGTTTAGGGTTCTTTCTTTAAGGACCCTTTAGTTTGCAAGATTTGTTGTATCTCCCCTTTGTTTTGGGTATTTATTGTATTGCCCAAAAGTTTGTAATATTGTTTGGAGATGGTGAAGTTTTCTTTTGCAGCGTGCGAGGACATAGGTTTCAATACCGAACCTCGTTAATTCCTGGTATTCTTTATTTTTACATTTAATTTTTGCTATTTATTTATGCTTTACTACTTATTATTATATTCAATAGCTAGGGTCTAGAACTTATGTTTCTGTTGCATAACAAGTGGTATCAGAGCCTAAGTTTAGGACAGTGAGTAGTTATTTGTATGGTTATATGCATGTCTAGGAAAATTCTGTCAACAAGATGATAAAAGTCTAAGGATACTGGATTTTAAGTGTGACCATTTGTGACCCCTCTATTGTTTCCTGGGAATTTTCCTAGTGCGTATTTAATCATTTCAGCACTTACTACTACTTAGGGCTATTGTTGATTTGTTGGTTAGCTATTGAATATAATAATTTGTGGAGCTTGATTATTGGGAACTTTGTTTACCAAGCCAATTGAGTAAGACATAAATGGTGTCATTGTCTAAGGAGTCATCGTCTGAGGCATCACCGTTTGCGGCACCACCATTCGTGCTAATAATTCAAATGCAAAAATTGATGTTGAAAAATTTGATGGTCAAAATAATTTTAGCTTGTGGCAGAGTGAGGTAATGGATAACTTGTATCAACGGGATCTAGATATTGTTCTAGAGGAGGAAAAACCAAAAGATATCTATGAGAAAGATTGGGTGAGATTGAATATAAAAGCTTGTGGGTTGATTCGCTCATGTCTTTGTAGAGAACAGAAATATCCATTCATGAAAGAGATGTTTGCCAATAAGTTATGGAAGGCGTTGGAAAACAAATACATGAAAAGAAGTAATGAGAATCGACTCTATTTGATGAAAAGATTGTTTCGTCTTCTGTTGAGACCAGGTACGAATATCAGTAGCCATATTGATACATTTAACAAGTTAATTG